ATGATACTACTTACAGGTTCCTATTTCAAACATAGCCATATGTTCTCGTGAAAATGGAGGCTGAATGAGAAACAGTTTGATTTGGCGGAGCCAGAGAAGGTAGTTTGAGGCATCAAGTTTTATGAAGTGACCGGTGTTTGGACCGGGAAGGGAGATGGTGGGAGCGGTAGAAGCAGAGGCCATGAGGATTGTGAGAAAAAGGCTTCAGAGGAAGAAAAAGAAGTCTGATACCATGTGAAGAAATAAACCTCAGTATATTTTTCATTATGACAGAGATACAAATGGTAAGAGAATCAGGAATTACAGACTGAATTGATTCACTAATACTCTCTCTCTCTCTCTCTCTCTCTCTCTCTCTCTCTTTTAAATTAAAAATATCTTATTTAATCATTAAAGTCTAATTATGGTTATGGTCAGGTTTTCAAACTCATTGCTATATCATAGAAAGGTGAGAAACTTTCTTGATCAGGTTTTCAAGGCAACATAACACCTAGTCAAAGACAATTTAAGTTTTTTCTTTTAAAATTTAATTGAAAATATATTTCGTTTTCAATTAAATTTTAAAAGAAAAAGAAATGTCTTTGACTGATGCTTGCCAAACTGATCCATCATATTTTTGTACTAAGAGCATAACTAATAAAGAAAGTCCCTTGAGATGCTTCAATTCCAGACCAAAAACCCAGTTTTCATTTGTATTTCCTGCATTTGGCATCTAGTGCATGCTACACAAATCCTCAAAATGAAGACAATCGCATAAAACATGATAGTAAATGCCTTGAATTGTCTTTTTTTCTCTTCCTGTCTCGCTTGGTTTTTCAACTTCTGAACCCAACAGATCTCAAGTAAATAGCACATGTTGTAAAAAAGGAGCATGATTAAATTTACTTTGGTGTGCATATTAATTCACTAGAAAATTGTATATGTTGTAAAATATATCTGATATTAGGCTCATTTTAAACATCTCCTTCAGATCTTATTAATGCTATATTTCTCATGATAATAATATTTCTACATTTAAACTTATATCAAAATAATTACTACTAGTTAAAATTAAAAGAAAGAAGGCATGATTGCACAAAAGTAGAGATGGAATCCGCACTAAAAGCAAAGGCATGAGACTAAGTTTCTGTTTGACTTTGATGCACTCAAGGCCAAGAAGAGAGAGAGAGAGAGAGAAAAAATGAATCACTTTGATGCAGTAAGTTTCTGTTTCACTTCTATACATGACCTGATCATTGGCTTTTAGATATGAGCTTGGAATCTTCAATTGCGAACTTGACCTCTCCCTTTTATTGCGAACTTGGACTCTTCGAAGATGATATGTTTGAATCATTACGGAGTCTTGGAATCTTCAACTGTCATCATAAATTTGCAACAAATATTTTGGACCTCCAACCAATTAGAAAGAGGGGATAATTCTGATTTTAGAAAGGAGTCCAGGAAAATCTTGTTTTATCAGATCCTTATGAAAGATTTAAAAACTGTTTACTTTGTTTAAAAAGATTCTGATCAATTTAGTTTTTCTAAGAAAGCAGCCACAAAGCGAGCTCCAACATGATGCAAAAGAATCAATCATTTGTCAGTTATGTTAGCTTAAAAATCTCTAATTCATGTGATGGGCATAGATGAAAGCTTAAGGGTAGTTCTTCCTAAAACTCACGACTATGTCCAGGTCAAGGTCATCCATGGAGGATGCAAGATAGTTTTTTTTATTAAATAAGAGTAAAGTCTTAGTCTCACATGAACTTCATTGATAAGGCTATGAACTTTGTTCATTTAGCCAAAGTTTGATGGATTTATGCCTAGTGTGATGTCATATAATGCAATTTTAGATGCAATAAAGACAATGACCTTCCCTCCCACTCCCTTAGGATACGAGCCGCGGCTAGGGTTTGAGAGTGTTTGAGAGAAAAAGGAAAATAATCTAATATTAGAGGGACTAAAAAACGGAATTATGGATATGCTAGAAATTAGGAACTGTTATTAGAAAAAAAAAATGTATATTTACAAATCAAGGAATTAATGGCATGCTTTGTGAGTAAAAATTATAACACAAAATATGAAGTATAAAAACATTAATATGAAGGTGGGTGGGTGGGTGTGATAGATTGTAATTTAGTATATAATACTAGGATAAATATTATCTTACATGGCAACATTTTAAAATTTGATTTTTTCTTGAAAGTTAAAAAATGGCTGAGTGTTATTTTTAATTTTTGCTGCAAGAATAAAAATAAAACAAAACAAGAAGGAAATTTTGCATATGGTGAAATAGGACATCACGAAAACGTGTCCCCTTGAACTGTCCCTGATTGGATGAAATAGGGGGGGATGAAAACCCCAAAAAGCAAAAGCAAATGTTAGAACAAATATTATATATTATCAGAGAGAGAGAGAGACCCCACGAGAAGCAAAAGCAAAAGCAAATGTTTGACAAGTATTACGTCTTTCAACAGGGCCACTCCAAAATCATTTCCGACTCTAGTCACCCTGATATCAGATTTCTCTTTATATAGCAGTATCTGAGTGAGCTGAGCTCCTCTAAAGCAATGAAACATCAGAAGATAAGTAGCTAAGTGAACATTTTGTAGTTTGGTACTGAATTCATTTGTAAAGAGGGAGTGATGATATCGATGGAGCCTGCACAAGGTGTGCAGAAAGTGATCACGGCCACCGATGTTGGGAGACTTGTAGTGACCAGAGAAATTCTTGCTGTGCTGCCTCCTGTCAATCCAGGTAATGCTATCTCAATCAACGTTTTTGATAGACAAACAGATCGGGTTTACGTGTTCCAGTTAGCTGGTAGGCGCGGCAGATACCTGAAGCCAGTTCTCCAGTCTCGAGGATGGAACCGCTTTGTCAACGACAGAGGCATTACTGTTGGGGACGTCGTCTGCTTCTGGGAGGAGGAAAACCCAACTTATCAAACACAATACCGAATTGCACTGTTCAAACCACATCTTTTTCCTGGCCACCCAGATCTTCATGGTGTCTAGAAATTAATGAGTTAGCAGCAGCAACATGTTTGTTTTGTGTTTTGGCTAGTCGGTCCTTCATAGAGTGTGCTTTTTCGTCTTCATGTCAGTGTTGCTGTCAATTAATCACCATCTGTGTATTTAGTGAGTTTTATTCCTTGGGTGTTTGTCTCTGTGTACCTGATGCAAGTACTGTTATAATGTACTAGCATTGTGGCTTATATATGTTGAATAAAAATATATAATATTACTGTTGTTATGAAGATGGCTGGATGATTTTCTGTACTTGTCATGATGTGATTCATTAACCCAGATGCAGGTACTCGACATGAACTGTGGATACTAATTATGAAATCTTGTATGTTGGGCTCAACTATGCAGCCACAGTAATGAGAAATGGTAACAAAGTTTACAATTAATTTCTTCAAGGTATTTAAGATAGGGCCGCCCGCGCTGCTCTAGAAGGAGAGAGAGAACAGAGGGAGAGGGAGAGGGGGAGAGAGAACAGAGGGAGAAGATGGCAGAGGAGGAGACGGAAGGGGAGGGCTGGCTGTTCCAAAGTATGTTTTTCAAGCCTTACGTATATTTTTCACGTTTCTGTTCCAAAGTATATAGCTAACTTTTAAGTTTTTTATATTATTTTATTGCATTTATTTAATTTTCAATCAGTACACTCAAATTATTTTATAATTATAACTGTAGGAGTTTAGCTTTTGTATATGAAATGAGGTTAATTGTGAAAACCCAGTCGAATGACGGCTCTTCTTGGTTTTGGTGTCAATCAGCCAGTCTGCTTCCTTGCGGAGAGAGACAGTGATCAAAGTCGCTCTTAATGGTGAAAACCCATCTTCAGAAAGTCATGTGAGTCAACTTCGTAACGGTTACCTATTTTCTAACTTTAGTGTGAGTCAAGGCTAAGTATTTCGAGATATAGGTGTTTGAGTGAATTTTACCAAGTAATGGCCCAAATACAAAAACAAAAGCCTTTTTTGTTGGTTTTGAAAGAATGAAACTGGACTTGGGTTTAATGTAATTTTAATATTTTAAAAATAAATTAATTTTGGTCCATTTTCCAAATATGGTACAAATAGATAAAAATACAAAAGTCCTAATTAGAAGGGAAAGTCTTGGGGTATAAGGATGTGCAATGGAAGTCAACTTTGTTAGGTTCAACTTAGATGAAAGTCAGCTGTATTATGTGCAATTCTTTGCTGGAATCCAATTTAGCACCTCTAGTTTTTTCATAGGGTCAATCTCATTAGTTGCCCTGCATTTGAGGTCACTTGCAAAAGTTGTTGGCGGAATAATAGGAAATATGAATTTAATTATAATAATTCTCAATAAAATTGTAATCATCAAATACAATAATAAATTTACATGAAATTAATGTAAATTAACAAACACAAATAGAGATACTGATAACTTTAGCGATTGAGGCTTGCAAGAATTACAATGTCCTAAAGACAGATTTCGCTCTTACCATTGTGCCCGCAGTTCTATAAGCATCTATTTCCTAATATTCAACAATCGATAATCCTAAATTGAAACACTTCAATTTAAAACTCTGTCGAACCAATTATATATTTGTACTCTCAAGACACTTAGGAAAGAAACTTGAAGATTGATGCTCTAACATAGCACGAGTGGGGAAAACTCCTTATCAACACCCATGCAAAAGGGAAGATGCAAGTCCTCTAATTGAATTGCATCAGGTTTGTATGCTATGCGATTTTTCATATTTAAATATAATAACTGTTTTCATTCACACATTAAAATTAAATATTATAATATATAATTTCCAACAAAAGTAACCCTTGAAAGTTACTTAAAAATGAACAATTCTAATCATGAAACAAGTAGTTAGAGCCGTATCAATCAAAACGGAAAGCAAAAAGACATTAAGAAAAAAGAACTTTTGGGCTAGTCTGAGTTAGATGCATCGCTCTGAAAAGTAAGCTTGGTTTTCAATTGAAGCCACAGAGGAGTTTTACTACACTGAGGCAATTCAAGCATGTTTCACAGTAACTAGACAGATGTTGGAGACGAGGTTAATTCAACGTGTACAATACATCTAAGGAATTGAAGAATATGTAATTACCCATTTAGGCAAACTAACTACAGCTTTACACTCACAGTATCAACAACACAGCATTCAAACTGGTAACCAAGCTTGCACCTGCAGTGTACGGGAAGCTCAAACCCCTCTCCACCAATTGGCAGGGAAGCCTCATTCATTGTGTGCCAAAGCAGATTGTAAATTGGCCATCTTGCCTCCAAATCTTGAAATTCAATCATTGGGCACAAGCACCATGTCTATCAACACGTAGCACATCTCGTTTGGCTAAAAAGCATACACAAATAATGCTCTATATCTTCACTGTGCTTTCACAAACATCTGGCTGGACACACCATGCAACAAATCCACGTTCCCATCAGTGTGCCTAATCCAGTCATGGAGAACCATATGAAGCGGGATTGAGGGACCAAATCCAAGTTCCTGAAACACATTTTGAAGAGAGAGTAAATAAAAATAGTCTCAGTTTGCTACATTCCAAATTGTACCGAGCCTTATAACTCTTTTTGGTTTCTAGAATGCTAATCAACAGGTCACGATGGTGTTTACTAATATAATATGGCATCAAAGGTCAGTATAGGGCATATGCCATGCAGCTTTCCTGCCACCTACACTACACCCACATTATAGTCCTACATATGATATAACAAGTCCATTTTTCCGAATTTGAGCATTGAAATTGCATACAGTGAGCTCAACTAAAATCCGGGTTGCAAACATTACTAACTGCAGTAGTTCAAAATTTTCTTTTTCTCTGGATGTGGAGCAAACTAGTAAATCATTACTGTGATGGAGGAGTGAAATACATTGCTTCAATTCGAAACAAAAAGAGGACTTGGTCAAAACAAGTTAATGTGTAATATTGTGATCACTAGTTCTCTCCACAGTAACTCTTTATCTGAGGTGATTTCTGATTGCTTATTATTTACAAGTGTAACAAGGCAAAGAGAATTTGTTAGAGATGTAAATCAAGTCCAATTTATATGTATCACGTTGAATACTCAGAAATCAACCTATGATTATCATACTGTTTAATTTAATTTAAAGCAAGACTGCAAAACGCAGCATTAAAATTTCAACTTACTGAAGCAAGTTCTTCAATGACAATTGCTCTGTTTCCATCCCTCTCAAAAAGTTCAAACACACACATCGAGCATGTTGTTCGCAAAGATCAAGTGCCTCGAGCTGATGAACACTTAATGCAGCGGCACATAACTCTTCAAAATCCATTCTTCTGTATTGAAGTGCATTTAGCTGTCATGGAAGAAATAACCAGTCGGTACTTTTACAACACATCTAATACCATAGAAAAAGGCATGGAACATCAAAACAAACATTAGCAACCAAATTATTACCGATGCAATGAGATCAGAAATCTGAGACTCCTTCATTGCATCTGTAGCATTTTTCATCAAAGCCTGCCGAGGACAAAATGAAAAGAACAGTTTGAGCGGTAAATTATCTGAGAGAGAGAGAGAGAGAGAGCGCAACCATTCTAATTGGGACTTAAGGAGTAATAGGAGGCTGCCTCAGGTGTAAAACAGGAAGACAGAGAATTGAGGTTGTGGAGATGGCGTTTGAGGTATATATGTGATTGCTTTTTCTGGAATTTGAGGTTTCAGGAGGCGCATTTCTGGAATTGAAGAAGTTTGATGTTTATCAGAAGCACAACGGTAGCTGACGGAGGAGATGAACCTTACAGTCGAAGTCGGATGATATTTCATTTCTCATTTTTTCATTTTTATTGTGGGTCTCCTTATTTCAGGCCCGTAGAGCCTAACCAGTGGGTCAACTGAAAGGCCTGTTTGGTGGGCTGGTTTGGACTGAACAAGTCCAGTGGGTCTCCTTATTTCTAGTCCATTGTTTGATGGAGAGGCTAGAATGAGGAGGTTGAGTGAGGAGCTTATTTGAGGAGGTGAAATCTCACCATCAACAACTAAAAACAAAGCACATGGGGGGATGCATTGGGGGGTCCACACCCCTTTTGATGGTGAGATGAGCCTCCTCAAATAAGCTCCTCACTCAACCTCCTCATTATAGAAGCTCCCATTGTTTGATGCTACGGGTTTTCAATTCGGTTTAATCTTGTGAGATTATTTTTACTCAGTAGGCTACAATTGATCAAAAATAGCAGCTCTTGCTAGTCGGATTTTGCATGAGTTTCTAATCGTCTCACTAGGTTTTATTTACTTTTAATCTAACTTTGCATTTTGAACCGTTGTTCTTGCAACATGTGAAGTTTGTGATTTCGATAAAAGATGCGCTCTTTCTGATCCCGATTTGTCACCCATCTTCGTCAACCAAAATTAATGCTCTGATACCAATTATTGTGCTTAGAGTGCCAAATTGAACTAATAATAATAAATTAAATAAATTCTGATTTAAGTTGAGGTAACATATAAGACGACGAGAAATTTTACAAGTTTTCTTACAAAATTGACTCACTCATAACCTTACGGAAGCCACTTTTATAACTAACACAAAATGACTTCCCAACAAACAAGTAAAACCAAAAACTAATAAATAGTAATAAGAAAATCTAAGGGTAGCCACATGCATAATGACTACCTACATCAAATCGAGCCATTTCCTAAAATAGGAGGCTGCCTCAGGGGTAAAACAAAAAGAAAGAGAAGTGAGGTTGTGGGGATGGCATTTGAGGTATGCGATTGCTCTTTCTGCGAGCAGGGTGTCAGAGGGAGCACAGGGGAAGGAAGATGGCTTGTGAATATGAGGTTTCAGGAGGGGCATTTCCGGAATTGAAGAAGTTAGAGGTTTATCAGAGGCACAACGGGAAGTAGAACGGGAGGACGAAAATTACAAGAGAGTCAAAGTAGGATGTTTTATATATTAATCAAAAACATATTTTTTCTTGTGGATCTTTCAATTTCAGGCTCCGCTTTGGTTTGGTTCCATGTGCTCAATCCCTGCAGCTGGGCTTGGACATTGAGAACCCTTGGGTCCAGTAGAGATTTTTTTTGGCTCAAGTTGAAACGAAAAGTGAGAAAATGCTTGCCTCTTAGAAACTTATGTTTCAGGCCAATTACAATTGAACATGTGTGCATAAATTTTTCTTATGTTTGTAATGAAAGATTTTTGTAAATTGTGATTTGCATAAAGAAAGAACGTCTTCTTCAAAAGCAATCGTGGTATATTGCTCTCTCTCTCTCTCTCTCTCCCCCCCCCCCCCC